TGTCCGGTTGAGCCTGGGATGTTCTGGCCTGCCCAGATGTATGATCCAGCATTTTGGAGAGTCCCCATGGCAGGGGGTCGCAGTGGTGTGTGTCAGGTGAGTTTTGGGGTGACTCAGGTGCTGGTGAGGTCCCGGGGCTCTTTGGGCTCTGGATGCATTGTCGGATCTGCCTCAGGAGGGAAGGTGTTGCTTGGTGTGTGCTCAGGGACACGCAGCTCTCTGTGGCTGTGCTGGGCTCCTGTCAGCTCCCGAGGCATTGATTTGTGGGGAGGGGAAGGAAAGGGGCCCGGGCGATTGTTAGTTGGGGTCCTTTTGTGTTCTGCAAATCCCAGGTTGGGCATTTGTTGCTGTATATCCCAAAGGAATGTGGCCCTTCTTTCCCTGTTGTATAATATACATCCTGGGAGACACAGGCATCCTCATCCCGACTGTGTCTGGGAAAAGCCCCTGAGCCTCAGGTCTCTGCAGGGAGGAGGTGGTGCTGAGGGGGACGTTGGCAGTGGTTTCGCATGGGTGTCACAGGGTTGTGTCCATAGTGCCGGTGTTCCCTTTCCCTTCCCTGCTGACACAGCTCCGGAGTCGCACAGGAGGGGTTGTTCCCAGCCCCCAGTGATGGGTGTCCCCTGTCCCATGTCACACAGGCGGTGCTGTCCCACGCTGGTGTACTCTGAGGCCCTGTCCCTGCTTCCCACCCACCCCTTACTTACAGGGAGTGAACAAACAGGGAGAGAGACCTGAGCGGCTGGGGGGTGCACTGGGGGGAAGGCAAAGCCAAGCCATGGATATTCCTAATTCCAGAGGAGGCAGCCTTCCTTCTTCCCACCCTGGGAAGGTCTGGAAGTCGCTGGTTTTTGGGAAGCTGGCCAAGCTGTTTGCTGTCAGAGGTTCAGAGGAGGTCCCTGTGCACTTGGAACAGCGTGAGGAAAGGGAGCCACTGTGGAGAAGTTGGTGGAGAGCTGTGTGCCGTGTGAGGGATGCCAGGCCTGGGGCAGGGGAAGGAATTAAATGTTTTGGGGACCAGCCTCTGCCCGAATTGAGGTACAAACAAGACTGTAAGCCAAAGTCAATAGTATGGATTTTCTTAACTGTAAATGAGACAGAAATGGAAAAAGGGAGGGGAGAAGGGAACATGGTGACAGATTAGGTGGAAAATATCACTGCTCCATGAATCCCAAGGGCATCCCTTTGGGCCTCTCCATCTAGTTGTCTTGGTGGTGAGGATCCCCCCATGAGTCCAATGGATTATTAATTATAACAGTCAGGTGGGAATGCCCAGGCAGGGGGTCGAGGAGGGGGTGGCAAGTTTAACACAGTGTCTCCCAACAGGCACTGGATCTGTTGCATCACCTTACTTCACATCCAGTGCTGTGGTAAAGGCCTCAGGAAATGAAAGTCTGAGGAGCTTTGGAGGTCTTTGATGGTTCCTTGCCTGGGGGTCGCAGTGGTGTGTGTCAGGTGAGTTTTGGGGTGACTCAGGTGCTGGTGAGGTCCCTGGGCTTTGGATGCATAGTCAGATCCTACAGCACCAAATGGTGTTGCTGGGGGTTTGCTCCAGTGAATTATTATTCATTACAGCCAGGTGGGAATGCCAATATAATTCCCCAGCAAAGGGATTGAGAGAGGTGGCGAGTTTGGTACCATGTCTCCCAACAGACTCTGGATTGTTGCATGACGTTGCAGCAGATGCAGTGGTCCAGTGAAGGCCTCAGGAAATGAAAATGAGTTTGAGGAGCTTTGGTGGTCTTTGGTGGTTTCTCACTGCTCCTCAGCTGTCCTTCACTTTAATGTCTCTTGTGTGTGGCCTTCTTGGGTTGGGGGATTTGGAACTGAGCCCTTTTGTGTAAGGGAGGGTGGGTGTTCACTGCCTCTGACCAGAAGTTGTGGCACACACCGAAATCCTCTCCTCCAACTCTTTGGCTGGTGGCAGTGTGTGCAAACGTCAGGGGATTGGGTCTGTGGGCCATGGCCTCCACCATGCCAAACCTAGCCTGGGCTGATTTTCAGGACAGCTGCTGTGTTTGGCTTTCTGCGGTTACTTGGTTGTCTCAGCCTTGTTTCCTTGTCTCTTGACCTGAGGTAATTGAAAAACAATCTCCCCTTAATGTATCTCAGGTTCCCTTAGGTGGCTTAAGGGCCTAAAGTTTCTGTCAGGAGGCATCCAGAGGGAGGGGTGTGCTTCAGTGGTTGCAGCATCTTTACACAGTTCAGCCATAAAGGGCAAAATATCCTTCCTAGCAAAGTTTGGGTCCTTGACCACAATGTTTCTGTCTGTCAGAGACGGGATGAGAGGGGGATGGGGGTGCAAGGCGTTGGAGGCAGATGGAGCACGGAGTCCCCCGGGCAGAGCCCCTGATGGTGCCAGTGGTGGGGCTGTAGAAGGGGCGGCTCTGGGCTGGGAGGGCCGGGCGCGATGAGGAGGAGGAGGAGGAGGAGGAGGCAATTGTGGGGCCCGGGATGAGCGCTGGCATGTATTATCTGAGTGGAGCTGATGTCTCTCACCGCTTTAGCTCTAGAATTACTCTGAGGCCCGGCAAGCCCCCGATCCCTCTGGCTGTGGAGCTTTTCCCATTTGTGGGATCGAGTTGTCACGCCAGACTTTGACCGAGCTTGAGGAGAGGGGTCCCGGTTGGGATCTGCCCCATTGCCATGTGGACTGTGGTGTGGGTTTTGTGCCCAGAAGGGTCTCTCACGTGGCCCAAATTCCATGGTTTGTGGCAGTTTGTGTCCAGGTTGCTGTGGGAATGTTGTCTCATTGTGTCCCTGAGCCCCTGTGTGCTGTCAGGGCTGTGCAGGTTGAGCGTGTGCAGCTGGGCTGGTGCTGCTGCAGGTGGGAGTGTGCAGGAGGGAAGTGGCACCTCTGCTGAGCCTGGCCCTAAAGCTGGAATGTTTTGTGCTTCTTGCAGATGTCCGGTTGAGCCTGGGACATTCTGACCAGCCCAGATATATGATCCAGTATTTTGGAGAGTCCCCATGGCAGGGGTTCGCAGTGGTGTGTGTCAGGTGAGTTTTGGGGTGACTCAGGTGCTGGCGAGGTCCCGGGGCTTTGGATGCATAGTCAGATGTGCATCACGTGGCAAGATGTTACTGGTGGCGTGCTCCCATGGATTATTATTCATGACAGCCAGGTGGGAATGCCCATATAACTCCCCAGGGAAGGGCTTGAGGGAGGTGGTGAGATTGACACAGTGTCTCCCAACAGACTCTGGATCTATTGCATGACATTGCATCCCATCCAGTGTTCCACTAAAGGCCTCAGGAAATGCAAATGAGTCTGAGGACCTTTAGGGGTCATTGATGGTTTCTAGCCCCTCCTCAGCTGCTCTTCATGTGAATGTCTCATGTTTATAGCCTGCCTGAGTTGGGGATTTTACAGCTGAGCTGTTTTGTCTAAGGGAGGATGGGTTTTCACTGCCTCTGACCAATAGTTGTGGGACACACGAAAATCCTCTCCTCCAACCCTTTGGCTGGTGGCAGTGTGTGCAAACGTCAGGGGATTGGGTCTGTCGGCCATGGCCCCACCACACCAAACCCACCCTGGGCTGTTTTTTAGGACAGCTGCTGGGTTTGGCTTTCTGCGGTTACTTGATTATCTCTCAGCTTTCTTTACTTCTCTCTGGACCCAATATACATAAACAAGTGTCCTCTTTATCTATCTCAGGTTCTGTTGGGTGACTGAAATCACAGTCATGCCAGACTTTGACCGAGCTTGAGGAGAGGGGTCCCGTTGGCATCTGCCCCATTGCCAGGTGGTCTGTGGCATGGGTCATGTGCCCAGGAGGAGCTCTCACGTGGCCATAATTCTATTGTTTGAGAGTTTGTGTCCAGTTTCTTGTCTCATTGTGTCCCTGAGCCGCCGTGTGCTGGCAGAGCTGTGCAGGTTCAGCGTGTGCAGCTGGGCTGGTGCAGCTGCATGTGGGAGTGTGCAGGAGGGAAGTGGCACCTCTGCTGAGCCTGGTCCTAAACCAGGAATGTATTTTGCTTCTTGCAGGTGTCTGGTTGAGCCTGGGACGTTCTGACCAGCCCAGATGTATGGTGCAGCATTTTGGAGAGTCCCCGTGACTGGGGGTCGCTGTGGTGTGTGTCAGGTGAGTTTTGGGGTGACTCAGGTGCTGGTGAGGTCCTGGGACTCCAGGGCTTTGGATACATTGTCGAACCTGCCTCAGGAGGGAAGGTGTTGCTGGGTGTGTGCTCATGGACATGCAGCTTGGTGTGGCTGTCTTGGGCTCCTGTCAGCACCCCAGGCATTTATTTGTGGGGACGTGAAGGAAGGAGGCCAGGGCCTTTTGTGTTTCTGATGTCCAGGTTTTACTTTTCTTGCTCTATTTTTTACAGGAATTGAGCGTTTCTTTGATTTTATTAAAACTTTTTTGTTTCATTTTTGTGTCCTTGGAGAGACAATGATCGTCGCATGGGGAGGAGGGAGGGCTGCGTAAGGAGGAAGGACGGGGCTTGTTGGGCTTGTTTTACTTCTCAGTATCCTCTGATGTTTTTGGCAATAACTTTAGGTAAATTTCCCCGTTCGAGTTTGTTTTCCAGTGAGCAGTGAGAGATTTCTCCCCCTCCTTATCTCAAGGCACGAGCCTTTCCTTATATTTTCTCTCCCCTTTCTGCTGAGAAGATCCGTCATAAAGTGGCTTTGCTGGGTACCTCTCATCCAGCCAGTGTCAGATCACAACATGGACTCTGTGACATCGTTCGGTCTTGTGGTTTTCTGTCTCTTGTGAAAGATGTGTGCACTTACAGGGAGGCAAAACATGGGATTCTGAGCCTCTAGATCAAAAATATTACCATTTCCATACGGGTGTGTCCCTGCTAGCAGAGGTACCTTGTGTTTGTTCCCTCTCTTGCTGGGTGCAGTGGATGCTTTCAGATGTGCTGACACCAGCAGGCAGGATCGCCATGGACCTTTCCAAACACCCAGCTTTGTGCATGGAGCAGCTTTCCCTGGAAGGGCTGAGGCTCTGGGCGAGGCTGGGGTTGAGGAGACCAGCCCTGAGCACTGGCCATGCTGCTGAGCCCACAGATCCAATGTGAAGCCAAACCATCAGCAGCTCCCAGAGGCAGATCCCCCCATTTCCAGGGCCCCTCATCTCCCAGCACCACCCTTCCATCCAGAATTCCCCTGGAGCTGATCCCAGCCTCAAACCCAACATCTCCACGTGTCACCCCTTACTCCTGTCAAATCCCTTGGCTGAATCCGGGGGCTGGACTGACCCCTCTTGCTGGGACACCAGGACCCTGGGATCAGGGAAAACAGGAAGGTAGGAGGACAACGGGGTCACAGGCAATGCAAACACCTGCATGAAGAATCTCCAGGCTCTGGAGGTGCACTGGGGAGTGCTGGGGAATGGTGGCACTGGGACACCAGAGCTGGGCTTGGGACAGTGCTAGGGTGATTGCAGTGTCCAGAATGGTGGCCCAGGGATACCAGGGCCGGGCTTGGGGCAGTGCTGGGGTGGTCACAGTGCACAGCTCCAGCCCATTCCCAGCACTGCAGCCCCAAACTGCTGCAGCCCCCAGGGGAAGATCCCCTGCCCGGCCCCACTGTCCCACCCAGGAGCACTGTGTCCTGCTGGATCACCCCAGTCCCGCTCTGCTGAGCTGTCCCACACATCGGGTCCCGGGGGCTCTGTCCCAGCAGGGCTGTGGCTCCAGACTGGGCTGGCACTGGGACACAGCTCCCACAGAGCCCCTGGCCCCAGGGATGGCCCTGCCCTGCCCTCGGCCCAGCGCTGGCCCCGAGCAGGGTCTGCCCCTCAGGCTGGGGTCAGGCTGGAACCCAGATCAGGATCCCTCCTCTGGGTAGGAAGCCCTCAGGACATGGGGTCCCTACAGATGCAGTTGTGGCTGCCTGTCACCTGTTCCAGCACCTTTCTGTGCAGATCCCATCCCTGCTTCTGGAGCAGTTTTAGTGGGACCCCAGGCCATGCACTCAGTGAGATTTAGCTGCTCATGGAGCCCCAACTGCTGGAGCCTTTCCCAATGCTACAAGAATTGAGGGCATGTCTCTTTATCATGAGATAAAGGACCCCAGGAATCCTGAGCTGCTGGAAGGGATCCATGACCCAGGGACATAAAGTGGCTGTGCAGGGACAGAACTTCCACCCCAAATCAGGGACTGGACCCTCACACCTAGGTCAGGGACTGAATTCCCACTCGAGGTCAGGAGCTGAGTGATCTTGAGATGAACATGACCATGAAATGGACATGACCATGGGATCATTGTGACACAAGATGACTACAACACAACCATGAGATGCCTGTGACAGTGAGATGACCATGACATGACCATGACCAGGAGACAACCATGAGGTGACCACGGCATGACCACAACCCAGATCCATCTCTGAGTCTCAGGAGGATACCCAGGGTGTTGCAGGGAGTTGTTTTTCCTGACCCTGTGACCTCTGATTTTTGACTTCATTGGATGGTTCCTCCCGTCCCACCCCATCCCTGTCCACATGTTCATGTTGCCCAGTCTGGGACATCTCATCATCTCCAGGGGGATCGGGTCCAGCACTTCAAGCGGCACTGGGACCAGAACTGCAAGGACCATTTGGAGCTGCCCTCCTCACCAAGGGGATGACCTTCACTCTGGAATGACTTTGACCTCAGTCTGACTCCATGCTCTCTCCCGCCCCAGTTCCTGGTTCACCACAGGACAGGGGAGTCACCATCAGCTTTTATTTACCCCCCCAATAAAAGTTTCACCTTTGGAACTCCCCAGATCCCATGTGGTACCCCCCAGCATCCAGGGGGCCCCCAGACTCTGGGATTCCCTAGCCCCTGCACTCAGGGGACCCCTCAGCCACGCTGCGGCCGCAGCTTCATCTCGGTGAAGGGGATGGAGACGTTGAAGCCTTTCCAGGGGAACCAGTGGATGCCCTGTGGGGAAGGGGGAATTAAAACCCTTGTAGACTTCCAGAGACCCCCCCTGTAAAGTTCCCATAGATCCCCACAGACCAGAGAGACCCCTGCAGACCCTATGGATCCCTGCAGACCTTCACAGATTCCTATGGGCACTCATGGACCCTCACAGATCTCCACAGACAAACCCCCAGAAACTGATCCCCACAGGCCCTACAGAATCACATAGACCCTGTTTTCCACAGAGCCCTGTGAAACCCTACAGACTCACAGACCCCTGTGGACCCCTAGAGACCCCCACAGGTTCCCTCATATATCCCCAAACCCCTCATAGTCCTGTAGTCCATCTAAAGGTGCCCTAGACCTCCCTATCCATTCCCATAGATCCCTATAGCCCTTTAAAACGCCCACCAGCCCCTTGCAAAGCCCCCTTAGACCCCCCAAATTCCCTCGTAGCCCCTCCATACCCCCCAATCCCCTACTCCTGGGTCCCCCCTCGCCCCGGTACCTGGTGGTCTCGGGGGGTCCCGTAGCGCCCGTTCAGGTTGGCGTAGTGGCAGTTGCGGTACCACCAGGCTCCCCCGTAGGCCACGGCACAGGGTGGGGGCCGGGGCCGCCCCGAGGGGTCCCGGCGGTCCCGAGGGTCTCGGAAGTCCCGGTCCCGTGTGGAGAAGGGGCTGCCCGAGTGGTAGGAGAGGGCGTCCCCTGCGGGGAGCGCTGTCAGCTCCCCCAGGCACCCCCAAACCCACCAGGAACTACCAAAAGCCACCAGAAACCCCAATACCCCCCGAGGCCCCAGAAGGCACCAAAGATTCCCAAAACACCCCAAGGACCCCAAAACCCACCAGGGACCTCCAAATCCGCCAGGGACTCCACAGACCCTGCCAGCCAGTGGGCCCCAAAACCCCCAGGGATCCAAAATCCCTCCCGGACCCACAGAATTCCCCGGCGTCCCCGGGAACCTCCGAGCCCCGCTCTGCGCACCGGCGCTGCCGCTGAACGCTCCCACTGTGAGCCGGTATCGCTCCTCGGCGCCGCCGACAGCGAAGTCGCGATAGAGCGCGAAGGCGGCGTCGCGGGCGGTCCGCAGGTCAACGCGCAGCTCCGTGGGGGTCGCGGTCGTCAGCTCGTGCAGCGCCTCATTGCCTGCGCCCCAAAATCGTTCCGGCACCCCCCGATGTCCTGCGGGCTCCCCGAGTTCCCCTGTCCCCCCCACCTGCTGCATGTCCCCTGAAATACTGGGGACCCCCCACAAACGCCTGGGGAGCCTTCAAGTGCCCCCTGGACACTTCGAGCCCACCCTGAACTCCTGGACGCTCCCCCACGAAACTCCTGGGGACCCTCCAAGTCCTTCCAGGACCCCTGGGGCCCCAAAACCAGACCTGAATGTCTGGGGACCCCCCAAGTCCCTCCAGACCCTTGGGCGAACCCCTCGGACTCCTTGGTCAGTGCCTCGTTCCTTGCACCCCACAACCTGCCTCCCAATTGCCTGGACCTCCCCCTCGGCCCCCTGGGGAGCCCCCAAATTCTGGGGGAATTATTATTCACCGAATACTCCCTGCTGCCCCTCCAGTAGCTGGCTCTCCTCAAAGTTCCCCCAGTCCCCCAAACCCCCAGAGTGCCTCTGTTGGCCCCACATCCCCTCAAATTTTTACACGTCCCCCCAGCCCCCCAGTGCCCCCCTCACCGAGCCAGAATTCGCCGCTGACGTTGCCGAAGCCGTGGGCATACGACTCCCACCCCCGCCAAAAGTCAGTGCTCCCGTCCTGGCGGCGCTGGAACACCTGGCGGGGGGAGTCAGGGGCACCCCAAAACCCCCCTGACCCCCCCATACCCCTATTTCCCTCCCATAAACTCTGTAGAATGCCCCCAGCCCTTCCCAGTGCCCCCCAGTTCCCCTTCCAGTGCCTCCCCATCACCCCTCAACCTCCCCAATGCCCCCCAACACCCTCTGCTTCTCCTGCAGGACCCCCCTATTGCCCCCAAAGCCCCTCTTTCCCCCCCAGAACTCCACAGAACCTCCTATAACCCCCTGCAGAAGCTCCCCCCACCAGTGCCCCCAGTCCCACCAGCCAGCCGCCGCCGTCCGTCTCCATGTCACAGAAGACCCTGAGGGGCCGGGCCGGGTCCCCCCGGAGGAAGATGAGGGTCTCCCGCGAGGGGCCCGGCCCGTTCAGCTGCTCCTCGGCGCAGTCCCGGGGGTGCGGGTGCGGGAGGGGGGCTGGGGGGGCACGAGGGTCCCCTCAGACACCCCAGGGGCTTCTGGGGACTCAGGGGTGCTGGTGCCCCCTCCCCAAAAAGATGCAAAATCCCCGACTCAATAATTGCCCCACCCCTATCCAGGGGTCGGGTGTTCCCCACCTAATAATCGCCCCCCCCCCAGGACCCAGCCGAACCCCCAGTATTCACCCCCCACAAAGGACCCAACCCTCCCAAAAGGACTCAGGCTGCCCCCCAATGCCTCCCTTAGGAACTCAGATGTCTTGGTGCCACCCCCAGGATCTCAGACGCCCCCGGATGATCCAGCTGTCCCGCCAAAGGACACAGTTCCCCCCCCGAAAAGACCCAGGGGTGCAGGTGTCCCTGCAATGGGTTTTCCCCTCTCCAGTGACCCAGCTGTCCTTGTTCCAGCCCCCCAAAATGATACACACCCCCTTCTCAAGGACCCAGTCCCCCCAAAAGGACCCAGGTAACTGGGTGCCTCTCTCAAGGACCCACCCTTGCCCATCAACCCAACTCCTCCCCACAAAGGATCCGGGCACCCCCCAGGTAACCCCCACAAAGGACCCAGATTCCCGGGACCCCCTCACTCCAGGACACCAGCACCCAAAAGACCCGAGTGTCTGGTTGTGTACCCCTCCCACTCTCCCAAAAAATCCCCTTCTTTCAAAAGGACTCAGGTGTTTGGGTGCCCCCCCACCATAACCCAACCCCTCCCCCAGGTGTCCCCCTCCCATGGACCCACCACATCTCCA